GAGGCTGATGTCGAAAAGAATAGTTGGTACTATCTGAATGTTAGAATCGACAAATGTGAAAAGAGACGGAATTTTTTTTTTTTTTTTGCCTCGTCGAACCTCAACAGTCGTGTGTACTGTCGCAGTAATATATCAACGTTCGCGTTCATAAAAATTTCAAACTGTTTAGGCTCCTCGAAGTTATTTAAAGTTTCAAGCTCGCTCCCGCTCGATAGGCGCTCGAACACGCTGTCGCCGCGGTTGAAAACTTTTCAATCGTAATTGATTACGAATTCGCTGGGAATGAACGAGCCGCGTCCATTTGCGGGAAGTAAAAGTCCGCGCCGAGGGACGAAAAATCGATTGACATCGAACGACGTCTGCGTCTGTCGAAGCTCGAAACTCTCGTTCGAAGATGTTAATTTTTATTCTCCCATGTACACATTCAACGCTTCTAGTTTTACTTTTGGCCCGAAAAGCTTCGCTCGGTCGGGCCAAAAGGGCCAGATCGAATTAATTTGATTCGAAAGATTCAGAATCGGTCGTTGCTTCTCCCCGCTCTTTTTATCTACCACGTGCATATGTGCATACATGGTTTAATGTCAAGCGTCACAAAAGAGGGGAGAAGTTTGCGCGGCGTAAAGTTTGCCAGGAAATACGTGAATATCTGTGCGCTAGTCTATAAATAGTTGGAGAACTGTACGTCGGCTATCGTATGAATAATGTTCGCATCATGCCGCAAATGGTACCTTGCCTCGTCGTCGTCGGGTCAGCCAGCCACGGTGGATGTTCGAATTGTAACAAGGCTGTACGCATTTGCACGGGAAACATCGCGATGACGCGTGCAAACTTCTCGAGAAAAAGAAAAAAAAAAAAAAAGAAAAAAACACTAGAAACCATTCGAGTGAATATGCACGGCAAGATCGTAAAGGTCCACGTGCGTCCTCTACGTTTGCAAACTTGTATCAATTGCTTAGATGATGTTTCACGTTAATCGTATGGATATTCAAAGAGAAGATGTAAATAATTTGTCATGCTCACGTTAATTTTTCGTTTTAAGATTATCGATAAAATTACGTGTTCACGATTATTTTTTTTTTTTTTTTTTTTAATTCACTTCTGAGTGAATCGATTTCGAGATCGTACGATAAAGCCGACGCGTTTTGACTCTCTCTACCCGGATAAATCGAGTTTTTGTACATTTTATACATTACGCGAGTGTGATGCATTACAGACGTTTGTGATCGACTGTAGATTTGAATCACCTTAACATTTGCCACGACCAGGTAATTCGCCAATGTCTAGCGACTGACGTTATATCCTATTCCTCTTACTGCCAGAGATTACATCGATTTTTTTGGTCACCAGTCGACCCTGTATATTTTTTATGTTTATCGATTAAACGGTACCGGGAATAGCCGTATCGCATGGGAGACGCGCGGCACCGGTTTTCGAGTGAAAGCGATGATCGCTTTCGGAACGAAATAATCAGAAATGGGAAATATCCGGGAAATATTGCGAGCCAGCGTGTAGGGAACTTTCACCCTAGGATTGAAGTCGCGATTCGCGCCAAATCAGACTATCTATCCTATTTACGATTCGCTGACAATTTTTCTGCCAGACGTTTGAAAGTGTTGTTTGGACCTGGTGCCAGCTTCGACACCGGAAACCTGTCCTTTCCACGCGGTCGATATGACTTCATTGAATATTACGTAGAAGTGATAACGGTTGCCACGCCTCCGCTATTCTCCACCATCGTTTCCCTCCAGCTCCTCCGCAAAAAACATTCCTTTTCTCTCCCTTTTTTCTTTTTTTTTTTTTTTTTTT